TAAAATGGCTACAGTGAATAAAATAGGTAATTCCAAGTGTTAGCAAGCACATGGAGAAACTATAACTCCCTCTCCTATGTTGTTGGTAGGAAGGTGAAATGGCACTACTAATCTGGAATACTGTTTAGCAGGGTTTTTTTTCTCCAAGTTGAATGTGAACTTATATGACCCAATGATTCCATTCCTAGAAATCCATCCACGAGAAATGTGATTACATGTCTACTCAACCTTACGCAAATGAATGTTCATAATAGGACTGTTCATAATAGCCTCAAACTGGAAACAAACCAAAAGTTCATCAACTGGAAAACAGATAAACAAACTATGGTATATCTTTTCAATAGAATACTATTCAGCACTGAAAATGAATGAACTACTGACAAATGCGACAACATGAATGAAACTTAAAATTCTAATGCTATGTGAAAGATGCTGAACACAAAAGATGACTAAATAGTGTATGATTCCTTTCATAGGAAATGTTCAGAACTGGAAAATTTATAGTGTCAGAGAGCAGATAAATAGTTGCCTAGGGCTAGTAGTGCAAGTGGGGATTTCCAAGGAAACTCTTTGGGATGATGGAAATATTTTAAAATTGGATTGTGGTGATAGCTGTAAAACTCTATAAATTTACTAAAAAATCATAGAACTGTACAATGAGTGGATGTTGTGGAATGTAAATTATATCTTGATAAAGCGGTTAAAACAACAAGAAAACAAAGATCTTCCCCATGATGCATTTACCTTAAATGTCAGATTGTGGCTTTGATATACGTACAAGTGCTTTTGTTTGATGGAGTTAGAAAGGGCCTCTGGTGAGTAACAAAATAAAATGTTATTTTGGATGATATAATTAGCAGCAATAGCAGCCATGCCAATGGTGATTAATAGTTCCAGCACTAGGAATTCAAAAGCTTGCTTCCTGTCTGCTCTCCCTAAGAACTGGCAGTTGACATGTTTAGCCTTCCTACTTGTGATTATCCTCCCTCCAAACTGGAATAAGGATTAACTAATTATAGTGGTGCCTTCAGACACGAGCCATATAAAACACCCTGGTAACCAAGAATTGTCCTGTCTGCAAGAGTGTGCCAGAAAGTCTTAAAGTCTCTAGTATGAGACCCAGAACAGGGGCACTGAGCCAAGCCACAGTGTTTCCCTATCTGGTTTAGCCAGCACAGGCACACCCTATACTTCCATTAATTTCACTTTAAGATACAGCTTTGGATAAGGTATAATCCCTTTTTCAAAATCTACAATGGGTCTCATTAAGTCCAATGTGGAAAGTAACCATCAAAGTGCCAGGACATGGTATTAGAAGTCATGGGTTTAAATACTGGCCTAGTCATGAACTAGCTCTGTAGCTTTTGCCAAGTAACTTATTAGCCTTAGATTATTTATCTCCCAAACTGGGATAATTCTGCCTACTCCACAAAACTGTTACGAGAAACAGGCAAGATAGTATATATAAAGTACCTGACCCAGTGTCTGTGTGTTAAATCTAAATAAAGGATATAGCCATAATTCCTTATTATGGCAGTCAAAGTTTTTCAGAGTTTGGTCCCAATCTTCCTGTCTATCCTTATTTTCCAGTAGTAAGATTCCCTATTCCAATCATACCAGACTTCTGACCAACTACCACCACTCAATGACTCAGGCTGTTTCTTGCTCTCTGGGCTACCTTCTTACCAACTCTGTATTCAGTAATTCCCCCCATCTTTCAAGACTCAGCTTAAAGCCTATCTTTCTCCATGATCTAGTCCAACCATAAACTCTTTAAAAAACTCATGAGATCCTTAATTATATACTTTTTAAAATATTATATCTGTTTGGAAATGTCTTATTTCCTCTGGTATACAATACGCTTCTGGAAGTACACCGAGACTTGTATACTTCACTACATATCCCCACAGTACCTCTCACAGGGTCTGAAGCAGGACAGGTGTCTCAAATTATTTTGTTCTAACTGAAGAATTCCTCAAAGAATAATTATAAAATGGCTATTCAACTCCAACCTTCTCATTTCATAGATGAAAAACTTGTACCCAGAAAAGGGAAGTAACATTCAAGGTCCTATGAGGAGTTTGGTGTTAGAGCAGAAGCAGAATTCTAGCTTTTTGTGGCAGAAGCTTCAGGCTGTCCTTCTATATTAATTTTCCTCCATATCTATAGAACTACCAATTTTTAGCTAGAAACATGGTCACCCAGAAAGAAGACTTCATTTTCATCCTTTTTTTTAGTTAAGTGTGAATATGAGTTTTATTAAATGGGATAAAAGTGAAAGTGCCACATAGCTGCATATTCTCCCTTCTCTCACGGCTTTCTTCATCCTGCTGCCTGAAACATGAATGCGATAGTAGAATTCCACATTTGGCACTGAGGTTGAGGGCCACATCCTAGGGATGGCAGAGCAGAAAGCTGAAAGAACTTGACTCCCTAAGGTTTTCAAGGAGCAGAGCCACAATATTAACTCTGGATACATCTATACTTTTATATGGAAGAAAAATAAACTTCTATCTTGTTTAAATTCCTGTTATTCTAGATATGTATTTTGGATATTAGTTATTGGTCACTTAGCTTATCCTATCATTCCTCCTATAAGCTTTGGATGCTCTTAGCTCTTCACATTGTCTCTAGACATATATTTTAATTCATTCTTTCATTCATTCAATGTGCACCAACATTCTGCCTGGCATGAATCTAAGAGGGGGTTAGACTGGATACAGGAATATAATGAACAAATCATCCCCTTAAAAGTTATAAGTATTGAATGAATTTCTTACTTTCTTGATTTGTATCACAAGTCATATGTCTGGGAAACATTCATCTCAGCATTTCTCCAACAGTCCCATCTCAAATAATCTCACTGTTTCCAGTAATACGTTGGTGATTAGACCATATGTGCCTAATATGTTCTATTTGCATTTCTACATTCACTCTCCACCCTTCTCCATCATTTTCTTTGCCCAGGGAAGCTTATCTGTATGGATTACATCAGTGGGCTCTCCTGCTCTCTGATTTCTGGTTGAGTTGGTCAATGGGGACCCCTAGCAGGAGACCAGAGGGAAGTAAAAGAATGAGCTCCATGTATTTATTTTTCTCATCTTCCTCCCTGTGGGGTCATCTCAGTCTAACTTTGTCCTTCAACCGAAGGTTACTATTCCACTCAAGGTGGCCTACTGCATGACTCTCTACTGTTGGGTTCTCATTCCTTCCCTTCACACCCTTTGAGCTCTTACTAGCCCCAGGGAACTGCACTATACCCTGTGGTTTCCCTACACATTGCCCACACCTTGTAAATAGCCCATTTATTAAGCTCTCTTCAAATTACCCTAATGTGAGGCTGCCATCTGTTTCCTGCTAGCATGCTGACTGATACATCATGTGTCCCAATTCTCAGCTCAAAATATATAGGCACCAGATACACATGATACCCATCAGAATCAATGCTAGGAAGAGGGTTAGAGCAGAGGAAAGATATTTATTCTCAGTGCATAGAGAATCACAGACTATAACAGTATCATCATGACCACCAGCTTCTGAGGCTAGATTTAGCTCTCAGGTACCTGCACCATACACAAGCCTTCATTGTTTGTTTTTGGGGTATCCTGGACCAGACTCTATGTCTTCTAAATAGTCTAGTTTTGAAAACTTTTATTTAGAAGTGGGACTCACTTCTAGGTGGAACACACAGTCACTAGGCAGAGTTCTTTTTTCCAACACATGTCTGAACCTCAAGTATAGTATTTTCTTCTAATTCCACCAGTATCTTCACTTAGGATCTTTAAAATGCTCAATATGCCTATTTTAGAGGTACAAACCACATTTATTAAAGAGTGAAACAAAAGACCAAAGTATCATCTGCTTATTCTTTATTAGAAAGTCAAGTATTGCTGACCACAGAGAACAAAACCTATGTATCCAGTGTGAAGAACACTTTCAGATCTTGGGTTGGGTAGGGAGGGAAAGAGGAAAAGAGATTATGAAGGTGTGGTGGGCAGAGCAATGCACTCCCCCTCCCAAAATATCTGAGTCCTAATCCTTGGAACCTTTGAATATGTTACCTTACATGACAAAAGGAACTTTACAGACATGATTTAGTTAAAGATCTTGAGATGGAGACATTAGCCTGGATTATCTGGATGAGCACAATATAATCACTAGGGTCCTTGTAAGTGAAAGAGGAGGGCAGGAGATTTAGTGTCAGGGTGATGCAGCATGGAAGAATTGACCAGCCAATGCTGGCTTCGAAGAGTGAAAGGGAACCACAAGCCAAGGAATACAAGCAGCCTCTAGAAGCTTAGAAAAGGCAGGGAAATAAATTCTCCCCTAGAGCCTCCAGAAGGAATACAGCCCTGTTGATTCCTTGATTTTAGCCCAAAGAGATCAATTTCAGACTTATCCTGAACCATAAGAGAATAAATTTGTGTTGTTTTATGCTACCAAGTTCATGGCAATTTTTTAATGTCAGCAATAGGAGACTACTACAGAATGTAAGACCAAAATCTCCAGACCCAGAGAACTAAACTGGGGGAAGGAAGAAGGGCTGGGGATCTGATGGATGGCAGGGACAGAACACATTGTAGGCAGCACAACCACACTGAACACCACTTGCTAACCTGCACTGCAGGCAAGCTGAATTCACTAAAAACCAAATGTATTCTTTATCTCAGACATTTAGACTCCTAAAATGCTTTCATGCCTTTTGTAACACTCAGTAGAAGCCTTCTTCTTTTTTTCTCAGAGTTTTGGGGATTCACCAGAACGTTTTTATTTTATTAGAGAGCTTTATCAGCTTCATTCAGAGGGACAAGCATCTGTTTCACCCTGTTCTGTGACTTCCTGGTGGCCACAGTAACAACACATTACACACACAAAAAACTATGGCTTTTCAAAAGTTCCAGAGCATCTAGTCTACAAAGGACTGATATCTATAACTTGCATTCTATAAAAACCATTGCTGAGCTCCTTCCCTAAGCTGCCTGTTTCCGAATGGGACTTACCACGCTCTGACCCAGCTGCTCCCGAAAGAAGTAATCCATGTTTCTCTTTTGCAGGCTGTCAAGGTAATGCTGAAAGCGAGTGTATGTATATGGGTAGCAGTAAGCAAATTGGTAAATATCTTCTTCTCGGTCAAAACAAAATGCAAAGGACATCACGTAATTCTTCCTATGGTCTGGGCAGCGGTAGTAGTAAACATTTTTAGGTGGCAGCCTTTGCCTGAAAGATACAAACAAATTTGGGCATATTAGTCATCCAAGCTTCAAAAATGTAATCAATGGGAATAAATGCACAAGAGAAAAATTGTGACATTGAAGAACCCTAGGTGGTGGCCAGGGACAACAACATATACCATGTATGGTCAAAAAGAGGCCAGAATCTGGCAGCACTTGGTTCATATTCCAGCCCTACACTTTATCAACTATTTCGACAATGCAAAGTTAAAGATGAACAAGTTTTATTAATCATTCGTTCCTGTTTTGAGCACCTATTATACATCCAGGTATTGTGCTAGATTCTTGACGGATAATGGTAAATACAAGAGGCCAGGTGTTTGTCCTCATGGAGTATATATCCTGGTGGGGAAGCAGTCAATAAAATACTTAAAATAAATATAACTATACTTACAGACTCTGAAAGTGCTTGGAGGGGAAACTGTGTGATGTTATAGTGACATAAATAGAGGAGGCCTTCTTTTCCCAGAGAAGTCAGGTTTTTGTATTATAACACTATTTGGATCTTTTAAAATAAGTTAATGTGCATTGTGAATATTCAAGGGAGACAAAAGAATATTCAACATTCCTTTAAATTATTACTATTATTTTTCTGTAGAGTATCCTATGAGACTAATTTTCCACAGAAGCACTTTGGGAAATACTGCTTTAAAATACGCTGTGTAGGCAACTCTGCTAAGCCAACATGCTCATTCTCCAATAAGCCACACTGAAATACATACATGAGAAAAGGCAAAATGTTCCAGTCATAATTCCTACAACTTCTTTACATGCACCCATTTCACAGGCTCACTGCACCCTCTCTGCTGTGTGATACCCAAACTACTCACACTGTTTCCCTACAGACAATGCCTCTCATTTCTGTCTCTTCAAATCCTGTTAATTCTACAAAGCCATCTCAAACTGTGCTTTTTCCATGCTTGTCCACTGATAATTCCAGGCCTGTTTGGTTCCCACATTTTGTAGTAAGTCTTGCTTTTTTATTGACTGCTTCCTAAGTCTTATCCACTAGGGTCTATTTGGAAGCTCCTTAAGGGCAAATGTTTCTGGGGGGGTTCTGGCATAGTAGGTGGAGAATGTAAAGCTCACCTGCAGTGGCCTGGCATTCAACTGAGAAGCCAAGGGGCACAGGGACATATGGAGAAAAGAGTGAGGAGAAGGTGTCAGAGAGAAGGTTGAGAAAAGCAATAATGGTGCTGGCTCCAGGTAGGGCAGCCTGGATAAAACTGTTAATAGCCCCAAGAGCATTACAACATGCCAGAAGTTTGTTGCAGAATCTTGTTTCTACCTTGGTGTCCTTCTGAGGCTGCCTCAGTGGTGAGGGTGGGAGGTGACTGTGGGCTCCCTGTGGAGCATGCAGATGTTACATGGCACGATGCTGGACATATTTTGGCTTGTGCTGCTTGCCTATATGCCTAGCTGTTATGAATCCCACCCAAACATTAAGTGGAATACAGTGAGGGGAAGAAGGCAAAAGGAAAGGAAGGAAAAAGAAGGACTGAGGGAGGAATGGGGAAAAAAGAAAGGAAGGAATGGATAGAACATACTAGTATGGGTTGCTTATGGGACCCATTTAGTACCTGATTTAATCCTCATGACGATTCTGTCAAGGTGGGTATTGTCAACTGAAAAAATATGCACAATCTAAAAGCTGAGAATTATGTTTTATTCAGCAGACATACTGAGGACTTACGCCCAGGAGACAGTCTCTCAGAGAGCTCTGAGGGACTGTTCCAAAGAGGTAAGGGAGGAGCCAAATATATAGGAGTTTTTGTAGGAAAAAAAAAAAAGAAAGAAAGTAGTGGGAACATTAAAAGATTACTGTTATTAAAGAAAAACCAGACATCTCAAGTTAATTAATTTATTACTTTTCTATGTCTGAGAAGACAAGAGTCTGGGCTCATTGAAATCATTCCTTTGATATGCACCTTAACTACCTAGGGCCAGTATCCTATTTTTTCCATTCTGAATCCCCTACAGTTGCACAATCAAGGGTGACTGCAGTTGCTGAGGGCTTGATGATGCAATGTTCTTTGTTTACCGACATGGCAGGCACTTATCCCACTTAGGAGATGTGGTCATGGAAGTTCATAAAAGTTAAGGAGCTTACCCATGGTCTGAAGCTAGTAAATGGCAGAGCTAGGATTCAAATCTGTTTCTATCTGATTCCAAATCAGTACCTATAACATTTCCCCAGTGGCTCTCTTGATAAATTATGGTTCTCTGGCATTCCAGATATGAGTATGTGCAAAGGCCAGGAGGCAAAAAGGAACAAGTAAACTGTTGGAATGGCAAGGAATTCATCATAGCTGAGGCACAAAGAATCAGAAGGGAAATCATAAGAAATGTGTCTGAAGAGGAAAGCAGAAGTCAGATTAGAAAGGAACTACAGTTGTCCCTCCATATCCAGGGGTTCTACATCTGCAGATATGAAGGGATGACTATATTTAAATCAGGCTAAGGAATTTAAACATTAATGTGAGATCACAGAGTAACTTTTAAGTGAGTGAAAGAAGTCAAGTACCATTATTGTACCAGTCCAAGGGATAGATGAGAGTGTTCAGAGAAAGGATAGGGCAGTAGCTGCACAGGTATAGGAAATAAGACAGATCTGACTATTAGATAAAAGTGGCTGATGTGATAGACCATGGAGTCTAAGATGGGTAGGAACCTGAAAGTGATGAGGAGGACAGGATGTAGAGAGAACAGCTTAAGCAATAAAGGAACAGGGCTTTCCACATAAAAGTCCAAGGTAGTATCAAAGGCCATCTAGAGCTGTGCTTAGGCCCACCAATAGAGACCCATTTGGCTTCTATACCCAAAGCCAAAAGGAATAAATATGCAAGTAACAGCAGTCTTCTTATGACCTAACTGTAGCTTTCAGGAACACCCCCTAGGCACTACTCCTTTCTAAATAAATTGTTACTGTAAACCTTCCTATATTGAAAATTTGGAACTACCAGTGATGAAATGGAGGCAGAATGGCCTGGAAGGTGAATGAGGAGTGAAGAGTCCCCTCTTGATCCTTTTGTACATGGAATGTAGGAGAATGAGCAGTTCCTGAGAAGCCAAAGTGGGAAGTAATGGCCTCTACGGAAGTAATGGCCTCCAGGATAGTCAGGCCTTAGTTCACTGTTTCATTCAGCAAATATTTGTTAAGTATCATGTACCAGAGACTGGTTAAGACAAGAGGTAAAGGAAGCAGTAAATTAAAAGACTGGGGATCCAAGGGAGATTATTAACCTGGGAGCTGAGTTTCATAGGAACAAGTGAAAAATAGAAAGTTTCGGAAAGGGAAGGAAGCAGTGGAAAACCAAGATAAGAGGAAGAAGAACAGACCAGTGAAGGGATAAGGTTGTAAAAAGAATAGATGATGGTCTACATCTGTGATGTGACTGATATGCAGGAATGTGAGATTGGTGGAGTGAGTCTCAGGGTTCCAGATTCATATTCAGGGAGAATACCAGTGAAAATGGCCTTGAGGTATCCAGCCAATGGTCTGTGATAGTTGCTTCAGGCCCTGACACAGAGATCTGAGTCCAAGTCTCCTGAAGCATAAGGCAAGCATGTCTTCACACACAAGTGATTCCTACAGTCACAGGCCCCTCAGGTTATGATGCTGATATTTTCAACTCTTTATTTACTAGTATATCCAATCAAGGTTCATCCTGGGTATCTCCTATTCTAGCCAAGTTTAGCAATTTGACTCGGAGAGTCTGCCGTCTGCACCAAATTTAATAATATGCTATCAGGAGAATTCATCTAATGCCTGCAGCTGTCCCAGCTCCTCTCCTGAGTGGGTCTGATGCCTAACCTGATTTGCAGACAGAGTGAAGGTAATGGACCTTAGGGTTATCATTCAAGGAAGCAGAGATGCTGTTAGGGCTTAGATTTTCCAGACTCTGCTAAGGATACTAACAAAAATCTGTTTGAGAAGAATTCAGCAGGCCAAATTCATGAGGCTACAAAGTAACCCAAAGAATAAAGGGAAAGAAGAATGAGACTATGTAGGAGAAGTTGGGGTGAGCTTTTGGTTTTTCTCTTATTTTGCTGATTATATTTTCACTATGTCTCAGGCATGGTGTTAAATGTTTTACATGCATTATATTGAACCCTCACAATATCCTATGAGCTAGAGGCTATTAACATCCCCTTACACTGATAAGGAAATCAAAGCTCAGAGAGATAAAAAAAATTCCTGAAGGTTGCAAGGCTGGGAAGCTGCAGGGCCCATATTAGATGCAGGCTAGTGTGACTCTGAAGTCTGTGCTCATTGCCCCTATGGTATGAGCCACCTGCCTTTCTCCCCTTGCCGCCAACCCATAGCCTTACCTTCTGCTTCCAGAAACAGCCTGTCTGATAGTACTGTCACAAGTACTCTCCTGCTAAAAACTCTTCAAACAACTCCCCATCCTCACAAGGCTCCCCAAGATCTCTCTGTGATTCCAGCATCATCAGCCATTTCTCCCTCCTTGAATCCTATGTTTTACTGATACTGAACTACTCACAACTCCAAACATGACTTTGTGCCATACCTTCAACACCTCTGTGTCTTTGTGTTAATATTTCCTCCACTTGCACTGCTTCCCCTGCCAGATATCTTACCTCTTGGTATACTCCTACTCATAGATTTGGCATATTGTAGATTGTGAATAAAGATTTAAATACATATTTTTAATGAACTAATAATTAATGGAAAAAATTGTGTATAAATAAATACCTATCCTTTAACGTATCTCCTCTCTGAAGCCTCTTCTGACTATTTATTCCTCATTAGTTTTTTTCTACTTGGACATTTGATATTAAAACAGTTTTTTTATCACCTGGTTTGCCTCTTAACAATAAGCAACAAAAGTAAATGGAGATTTATTCAAAGAGAAGGTAGGATTCTTGAAGACAGGAACAGTGTCACATTTTCTTTCTCAATAGAAGTGGTACAGAGAAGTTTCAAACATTACTTGCTTAGTTAAAAAGCACTGGTAAAAA